AGCTAGGCAGCGAGATGGGAAGCACTGAGAGACGTCTCGGTGTGTACCTGCTGAGTTTTTCACAAGCTGTCACCCCAATTTTCCTCGGTTTTGCTTCCTTGGTCCTTCCATGTTTCTTTCCCTAAACTCACCTTTCCACCGCAGATGTGCCGCACTTGTCAGCAGAGCGAGGGAAACATTTTTCAACATTTCAAGTGATCGGACCCATTCACCTTACCGTTCCATCGCCATCCTTCCCATCGTGGCAATTGAACTAACTGAAAACCAATGTCGAAGTGTGAGCCGCTCAGCCGTCCCACGTGGGTGCTGGGTGTGACCCTCCGCAAGGAGGCGCTGTTTGCATACTGGAACTCATTTCCTGACTCATCGTTCTTTCATCGATTTCCATCACCGACTTTCTTCCATCCTGAATTCACTGCACTTCGAGCCGCCGGGCTAATACGATGGAACTCCACAGAATGAAGCTTTCTGATTGCACATGTGATTCTGTTCATGACATGGTTTTCATGGTTTGATTTCTTGCATGTTGTCGAATTCGTTATGCAGCTGATCTTGAACTTTCAAGGATGTACAGTTATCATCAATACGCCTTTATGTCCAAAAGGGGCATGACCCTGCAGCCTGCAGACGGTTTTTGAAAAAAGTCCATCCACCGCGCTTCACTTGCGCCGACAGCGGCGTTTTGTGTGTGTCCAGCCCTGTCTCAAAGGGTCTTTCATTCGTTGCAGGGGGACCAGGCATCTCGCTGCTAACCTGGTCTAACAAAGCTAGGCAGCGAGATGGGAAGCACCGAGAGACGTCTCGGTGTGTACCTGCTGAGTTTTTCACAAGCTGTCACCCCAATTTTCCTCGGTTTTGAGCTTCCATGGTCCTTCCATGTTTCTTTCCCTAAACCCACCTTTCCACCGCAGATGTGCCGCACTTGTCAGCAGAGCGCGGGAAACATTTTTTCAACATTTCAAGTGATCGGACCCATTCACCTTACCGTTCCATCGCCATCCTTCCCATCGTGGCAATTGAACTAACTGAAAACCAATGTCGAAGTGTGTGTGTGCGCCTACTGGATCACACGAATTCCTTTACTGGTTCCGTACACAGAACAGGGTAGAACAGGGTACACCGGTCACAACGAATTTCGTTCAAAATGTCTTGGACCAGTTCCTTTCCCCGTCAGACATGGAATGGACAGGCGGGAGTGTGCTTCAAGCATGATCCGCGGGTCCGCATGGGGAGCGAGGTTGGCGAACGGATGGAAGCAAGCATCGGTTCCGCAGTCAGGCCGGGGTCAGACCCCATCTGATGCTTTTGGGATTGAAATTCTAGCGAGGAACCGAACAACCAAGCGACCGATCAACTCACAGCCGAGCATCACTTGCACCTGCAAGAGGCCTTCTGAGGGAATGACATCACTCCCGGAGAGCACCTTCCCAGTCTCCGTAATCAGCCGTAACGACCCTCTGGGAAGGAACTTCTGCAGCAGCGGAGCTGCTTCTCGCACAGTGCTCCCGGATGGCACAACGCAGGGGATCTCCTGACCAGTGAGAATACACACGAAAAAAACAAACATGAACAACATACCCCAAACACCACCCATGGCGGTAGCGTTTAGCGACGGTGAGCTTAACCTAATAGCAAACACTGGTTGGAGTCCATTGCTGTTGGGTTGGAGACCACCGCTATTAGGAGGATTGCTATTAGGGTGGGGGCCATTGCTATTAGGTTGGCGGACATTGCTATGGGGGCCATTGCTACTAAGTTGGAGGCCATTGCTATTAGGTTGGAGGCCATTGCTATTTGGTTGGAGACAACTGCAGCTATTGGGGTGGAGGCCACCGCTATTAGGTTGGAGGCCATCGCTGTTTGGTTGGAGGCCATTGCAATTAGGTTGGAGGCCATTGCTATTGGGTTGGAGGCCATCTCTATTAGGTTGTGGGCGGCCATTGCTATTAGGTTGGCGGCGGCCATTGCTATTAGGTTGGAGGCCATCGATATTAGGTTGGAGGCCATCACTACTAGGTTGGATGCCATTGCTATTGGGTTGGAGGCCATCGCTATTTGGTTGGAGGCCATCGCTATTAGGTTGGAGGCCATTGGTATTGGGTTGAAGGCCATTGCTAATAGGTTGCAGGCCATCGCTATTAGGTTGGAGGCCATTGCTATTAGGTTGGAAGCCACTGCTATTGGGGTGGAGGCCACCGCTATTAGGTTGGAGGCCATCGCTGTTTGGTTGGAGGCCACTGCAATTAGGTTGGAGGCCATTGCTATTGGGTTGGAGGCCATCGCTAAATTAGGTTGGAGGCGATTGCTATTTGGTTGGAGGCCATCCCTATTAGGTTGGAGGCCATCGCTATTAGGTTGGAGGCCATTGCTATTAGGTTGGAGGCCATGGCTATTGGGTTGGATGCCATCGCTATCAGGTTGGAGTCCATGGCTATTGGCTTGGAGGCCATCGCTATTAGGTTGGAGGCCATTGCTATTAGGTTGCAGGCCATCGCTATTA